CTTCCCTGGCCCAGTTAAGTCCCCTCCCACTTCCTGTTGTATATATAACGATTACTAAGTAATTATGATCATGACTCACCCACATTGAATCAACAGACGGATGTATATATATACACTGCGCATCATGAATTACCTCCCTTCAATCACGCAGTGGTGGTGACTAAAGCCCCGGATCGGAACCCAAAACTTTTAACCCAACGACGCCGATAATCAGAATGATAGCATCAAGTTTGCGAAAATTAACGATTTTTTTTATATATTTATATGAGACGCAGTTAACATTCGAAATTGTTGAAAATGTAATAATCAAGGACTTTTCAAGGCCCTCTAGCTAAATTCAAGGAGTTTCAAGGCCAAAAAAAGTTTTCAAGGACTTTTAACATAACACATCCTGTCATTTGACGGGCGTACAAAAAGAATGTTTCATAAAGAACTGCATTAATTGTAATAATTCAAGTTTACTTTTCTTGCAATTTTACAGCTGCATAAAGTTTGTTCATTACATACCAAATAAAAACAAACCCTGTCACAGGAAAGCAGTACGCTCCAGGTCAGAATAGCTCTTTCACAAGCATAAATTTCTTATCAATGAAATTTCAAGCAGATTATAACAGACCCTTTTATTTTGGTGTAGGACAGAAATGTTGTCGAGCATAATACAACATGCCCATGTCAATTTCAAAATATCATATAAAGTAGTTTCTTGAGAAAGATGCTTTTGCCACTTAAATTTTGTCTTGTATGTTCCTGTATGCACATCTTCATCATGAACACACCACTTGTTATAAAAATGATCATGAACACACCACTTGTTAAAAAAATGAAGTGCTATTCATTTAAGTTAAAATTCTGCAGAAACACTGGGTAGATACCTGTCGCTTCAGTTTCCTCTCCTTCTGATTGCCATAGTAGGTGAGGATCTTGAAGGCCGGACACCACTTCTTGATTTCCATCTCCCAGTTCAGCATCACACTGGTGGGCACAACGATCAAGTGTGGGCCCCAGATACCTACAACAGATGTCTTGTTATACATTTCTGCCAACTCTAAAGGAAAACTTGCACCTTAAGCTGGGAAGAATTCATTTCCTTACTCATTTTTGTTTTTCATTACTATTTGTAACAAAGTTGTTGCAAAACATTAAAAAAGTAATAATAATGAACTTGTCTGAAAGGCAATTACAGATATTTCATTAAGTCCATTAGGTTGCTTTAAACCAAGTTACTTAAAGGAATGTGTAACAAACAAGCAATGAACAATACACTCTTTACAAAAAATTACAACATAATAGTTATTCCACACATGAATATTTGGTGGGCTGGGAGGAACTTCTGATAATTTATGAGTGGTGGAGTCTTTAATAGCTAACATTTGTGTAAAATGATATCTCTCCACAAAATTATACACTTTGCTAGAGGATTATGTGACTAAGACTACCTTTATCACAGGCTAAGTGGGCTAGAAGAGCTATGGTCTGAATGGTTTTGCCCAGACCCATCTCATCAGCAAGGATTCCGTTGAGACGCTTTTCATACATGGTGGCCAGCCAGTCTAACCCAACATGCTGGTACTCTCTCAGTGTATGCTTGATGAGGAAGGGCACCTTGGTCTTTACCTGGAAAGGAACATACACACATGTTTACCCGACATGTAGACAATAACACATGGTTTGAGCCTACTCACAAAAGCTCATACCACAAGGTTTCAAATCCCAATACACTGGAACTATAACATGGCTATTGTGACTATATCTCTGTTGATCATTAGTCCATTTCTACAAATCTTTGTTAATATACCATAAAAACTAGTGTAATTTGTGCAGTTTTTGTGTGTTAATCTAAGTTTGAAGTAGGGGGTGTGCAAATTACATAGCTATAGACGTTTTCAGGATTTTTTTAAGAAAGATTGACGAATTGCATGGTCCACCATCTTGAAAAGACGGGACTTTCTCTGGATCTGTTTGTACACAGAACTTGCAGACAGATGAGCATTTAACTATTTATTCTGAATTAAAAATTAATAAAAGATGCAAAATAGATATTTGTGCTGCTATATGAATTGATAAGGCAATTAACTTAAGTTATTAAATTAATCAAAATATCAAAATGAAGTTGGCAAACACCATCCTCTTACGGTAGATGCATATCAATTACGTTCTCAGCGGCTAACATTTTGGCAGCAAATTTATAGGCCCATCATCTTCACAAGATAAAACAGGATACAGAAACACTGCATTTTTAAAATTAATTAATGTGTGACAAGTTCGTAACCAACCTGTCTTTCAATTCCTGTCATGAACACACCACATCATGTTTC